GCATTCAAATTTAATCCCATCCATTACAGTAACCTACTGTACAGCAGAGCGACATCCACGACTTATCCGCTTTTTTAAATATTAAAATTTCATTATTATTAATATCAGGGAATAYTGCATTTGTATTCTTGTATTGTTGATTGTTGAAAATTTTATAAATTTTAAATAAATTATGTTTTAGTGGTTCTAAGCAACAATTTTTGAAAAAAAAACTATCATGAGTCAACATCAAGAATCATCCAAAATAGTTAGTATATTTCAATACTTTTCAATTAATATAATTATATATTTACCTCAACAATAATTTTAAAATAAAAAATATCCGAAACAAAGTAGCACGTCATATAAATTCTCAATCATAAAAATGCATCAAATCATTTTTGAAAAATAAAAACATATTTACTTGGCTTTAAGTTCTGCTAGTATTTTTAATCGAATATCAATAAGTTAATATTGTTATCATGATGGCATCAAATATCAATATAGGTACTTACCTAATATTACTTCAATGAACTGTTAAATTTTCAAATTAAAGTATTTAATCAATCACCATAATCAATTTTGTTTTTATGTGTTAATTGAAAATAGTTATATTCATATTAATCTTATAGCAATCGTATATATATATCAATTATGTATGGACATTGGACATATATTTTTTTATACATGTTTAATAAACACTGTTTATATTTTACATACTCGCGTGCTTGATTTTCCCTAGTAGTAAGTTTTATTTTCATGAAAGCCGCACGGAAACTGATGATAGGTTTTATCTAATGATTTTTCTGGTATTTATTTTATATTAAATATATTAACAACTGGTTTTAACAGTTTTAATAGTTAGAAAATATTTATTACATTGAAATACTACGTGATACCATGTTATTTTACCTTAGACACAGGGATTTCCTTAAAATAAATAATTATAAATTAAAATAATTAATCAATTTTTAAATTTCATTATTTCACTAATTTGTAGGATGTTAAGTTTGTTGACTTAATAAGTGACACGGTGACGAAACCAGACATCCATATGCGGCAAGCCATGTTTGAAGCAGAAGTTGGAGACGATGGTTATCGAGAAGACCCAACCGTATATTGTACGTATTAATGCAACTTAAACTTATTCATTAATTACTTATCAATTATCAGTATAGTGTATAAGTGTATAAAATTGTTTAAACCATTAATGTTTGATTAGATTATCAGCAAAAACGCTTGCAGAAATATAAAGCAGCGGGGGAGCCAAATAAAAACATATCGGTTTATAAATTTGAATTCCACCATATAAAGATTCTCAGTTATGTAATATACTAAAAATTATATTAATTCAAAATACTGATGTGAATAAAAATGTTAAATAACCTAAYTTCTAGCGTTAAAAATAAATATACTATGTTAAAAAAACAATAATACATGATAGTTATAACTAGGAGTCTAGGACTAATAATTACAAGCACGTAGGTATGGGCAACAAATTGAAAAATATTTTATCAACAATTAGGAACCCTAATATCACTTATCATGTGTTACCCCAAATATATCATAAGGTATTAAGATCTATGAGATACACATAACAATAAAAGTTAAATACCTAATATATATAATATCTATAAATATCTGGGCGATTGTTAACTCCACCAATTTACAGGTAGTMRATTTTAGGGTTGGATTTATAGCATGTAAATTCCACCGATATATTTTTTTTACCTGAAAAAAAAATGTAAATTCCACCGATACGTATTTTTGCCTGAAA